ACAGTGGACAAAACAATGATCCTGTAAAACACAGTTTGTGTGTTTATATAGGATGGAGATGCAATGGTGTGTGAATACACAGACAGCCAAAGAAGTCACATGCCAGATGCTGTCCATATTGTGCTGCTACAATGGCAGAAAATGTTGGATTTGTGGATTGGCCTCTGGGTGGACTAAAAACAGTTTGAAGAATGAGACAAATCACCAGCTCTGTACTTAGTTTCTCTTCAAGGTCCCACTGCGCCAAATTTCATCTTATTTTTACAGCTGTAGGTTTCTAAAGGAACCTCATTGCAAATAGCAATTATTTTCTACTTTCACCAGCAGTCTGGCTCACTGAGTTTGATGAGAGTTGGCATAAGAACCTTAGGATTTGTCTCAACATATTTAATTGGACTTAAAAGCATGAGCTCTACGGATAGGAGGCTGTTGTTAGTATGAACTTAAATAATGTTAATACAGGGTGCAATTAAATGACTACAAAAAGTGGGTGCATGAGTACTGCCTGCCCCTTAGGTGGCCAGACTGCATTAAGGTGCTTTAATTTTGTGGCTTCTTTGATATTTTGAGCAAAGTCCTGCCCTCAGACATGCACACACAACCTCCGTTGTATTAATACATCTCCTGTTTATCTCTCAGTGCTACATCTAACCCTTTCTCCAGTTATAGACAACTGACAGCTCAGCAAGTGTAACATGATTCATCCTTCCCTCATCTTTCTCTTCCCTTGACTAGACACTAATAAAGGTAACAGAACTTAAGACCAGAGCAAGAGGCCTCTTATAACGACAGATTCAATCACATCTTACCAAAACCAGAGGAGGGCAATACTACCTCTAACTGAGGTAAATAAATAAAAGGAAGCAAATGGCCCACATTCACCTCCAGGCTAAACAGGTGCAACCTCTCAGGCCTTCATGTTAGGGTTAAATTTGGCCTGAACAATAAAACCGTGTATTACGCAGTTTTAATGGACCTGAACTGTTCCACTGAACTGTACTTCTTTTCTCTGACCCAGAATACAATACACAATCTCCTCTGCGATGTAATGGCAGCACAGTTCCTGACATTGTTCAAATGCTTCTTTCCCCTGGGCACACAGAGCACACTCACTATATACCCTCATCTGTGTCCTGCACCAGCTAGCAGCACCATCCCCACAAATGCTGTATAACAAACTACTCAGTCAGTACGGTCACCAGCTATGCTGTGTATTGGACTATAGTGTAAACTTGTTTGACTTTGCAAGAGAGTTCCTGTTCACAAGGGGGATGGGACTTCTGCTCCTAAATGCAGCTACAAATTATTTTTGTGAATGTCTTGAGAATACAATTGGACACCTCTGGGGTTTTCTTGTATTCTGCCCTGATTGATTGTGTGACTGCAAACAACTCACTTCATATAGGAGATTCTGCATATATGAATCTAACATAAGGAGACAAAACCAGGCATATATAAAGAGACAACACACAGTGATACATTGACTAGGAAACCAGCAGTATGGCTTTTAGATGTCATCATGGAAATGGAATTAAAGATGGTGAACCTACAACAGATGTTGTTTTTAATGCAGACTAAATAGCACAACATGTGGATGAGAATGGACAAGGGGGCAAGAGGAATGAGGTAGGAATAGAGATAAAACCACATTGAATAGGTCCTAAAATACCTAATGCCAGCATCATCTTCAGAAAAACTGAAAAATCACTGCAGTCAAAAAAATGACTGGGTTTAGCATAGTCTGCCTCCCAATTAGCTACCTAAACACAATTATAGGTAATAATAAATTAATAAATAATAATAGTAATAAAAATATAATTGGAATAAGTAAGAATTAGCTCAAATCAGGATTTTAGAAAAAAGAAAGATTTATGTTGGAAAGAATTGAAGAATGCAAATGGGGGATGAAGCAGTGAGACAAACCAGCCACCAGGATATACCAACTGTGAGAGCACACGGGACTGAAGGAAAATCCAAGAAGTCATGCTAGAGTAACAAAAGAGGTTTAATAACAGCAATAGTGAATATCAGCAGAGAAAGAAGCCAAAAATTTTGGATTAATTTCTATTCAGGCCACATTAAGATGCCAGCAAAAAGAGAAACTAGTTATGTATTTACTAACATAAACAAACTCATTGACCCAAAGTTGTTAAAAACACTACCCTTTGAGAGTGAGAATGTACTTACAAAATATATGAAAAAATTATCACAACTTCTGTGGAAGGAATGTATCATGTTCTCCACAGATAGTCCAGAACATAGTTTTCATTTAAAAAACAAGTAGTACAGATTCCCTGCTGCATAACAGATGCTCCAGCAAGTAAAGGATGCTGACTGAAGCAGGAAAGGGCAGAAGACAGAATAAAGCAGGTTTCCCATTGAAAATCAAAGCACCCAAACACTTTTATGATGAAGAAGCAGTGCTCCTAGTAAACTTGTGCACATTCCTCTGAAATGCTAATGTATTAGAGTAGTAGTTCACAAAAACAACATAGATTCAGTTCTGCCTTCTGACACACCAAGAAAATTGTGTTGACTGATGGAAACATTTGGCCTCAAATCAACAAATCAGCATAAAAATGTGGGGCCTTCCTGTCAAGGAAGCCATTAAAACACAAGAGACACAGATCTCTTAATAGATTATACCTAAGCAACAAATTCTTCCTCCTTTCCAGTGTTAAGGTCATCCTGCCTAACAAACCCACTTCATATAGACTCTCTCCAAAGTCTCCTCTGCAGGCAATGGCAGATAACAGACAGCTGAATGACTGAATACTCTAGGTCATCTAAAAAATTAGATCAAAGAGTCCCTGTAGTCTATTGAAATGCAATTGCTTCCAAATCACATTGTGGTGTTCCAGGCTTGAAAGAATGGGTCACTGCAGCTTTATTGTAGAGAAGCTACTGCTAATGAAAGGAACAATGGAAAGATTAGTGCTACCAACCATATAGAAGAAACACCACTTTCAGTTTAATTGCAGTGAACAAAGCAAATAGGAAAGAAGGGCAACCAAGTGACAAAAGTAGTTGGTGCAAAAAGGATATAGAAGCTATTCACAAGGCTTTCTTGATCAGAGCACACCATCCAGACTTAACATATGATTACTGAATTTGGATCACAGCAAGAAATGACATGGTTGTCATTACAGAAAACTGATGACATGTTTTTAAGAGGGTCCTTGTAAACTGAAAGACTATGAATCCTGGGATTCATTAAGTGCACTGAAATTAATAGATCAATAGGAGGAAAGGAACAATTATACTCTGGGATACCTGCTCTACAGGCGATTATTATAAGTAAAGGTTTACTTCATTTACCAGTTTGAAATGACAATTTAAGGTAAAATTTTTTGATCCTTTTAACAAATTAAAGAGAGATTCTGATTGTTGATAATCTAGGTACTGCCATAATAAAATTGTTCATGCCACAGTATTTTTTCTCTTTTAATCAGATTCTGGATCTTTTCTAAGTGAAGCTTGTCAGTTGTAACAACCTCTGTGATGAGACAGTGGTAAAAGATCCATTTCAGTTTCAGTTAAGATCACCACATTCTGTTCCTCAGTGACCTGAGGCAGGCTTGAACCTTCCTTCTCCAGACAAGACTTGACATGCTCAACTTCACTTAGCTCAGAAAGCATGTTAAAAACCAAAACGTGACCAAACAGGGCAGACCACCTAAACTGTACCTGTTGTGTGTAGGG